TTCTAGAACACTATCCTTTCCTGGCTTTTCTTTTCCCTGATGGTTACGATCTCTTAGTCTCCATCACTGGTTTCTGACCAAGTAACACTGGAGAACTTCAGGACTTCGTTTTTGGCCCTCTCTTTAATCACTCCCTAGAGATTCACCCAGTCTCATATTTTCAATATCATCTCTATGCTGATGACTTCCCAAATTATACTCCTATTCTAGACCTCTCTCCTGAACTCCAGAACACTACGTCCAATTGGTTACACAGCAGCTCCACTTCATTGACTAATATACATCCCAGACTTAACAAGACAACACCGAACTCCTAATTGTTCCCCAAACCTGTAAGTTAGTCATCCTTAGCTAATAAATGACACCTCCATTCTTTTAAAACTTAAATCATAGCATGCACATGCCTGTACTTAAGGGTCTCCAGTGTTTTCCTAGCTCCTTCAGGCTCTCCAGGACCTTTCCCTTGTCCCTGCTTTGATATTGTCTCTCATACACTTCCCTAGTTTACTATGCTCCAGTCACATTGGTCCCACTGCTCTGGCGGCTTTTGTATTTCTTGTTCCCAATTTCTGTCAAAAATATCGGCATGGCTCCCTCTTTTACTTCCTTCCAGTATTACCTTCTCACTAATGCCTTCCCTGGCCACCCAATCTAAAATTGCAAGCCTTCCTTCCAGTACACAAACTCCTAAACTTGCTTTATTATTTGGCCTTATGTCTTACCATGAACATACTGTATACTTCACTTATTTATTTTCATTACTGTAAAGCTCCTATACTGGAAATTCTTTTTTGTTCACTGTTATATCTCCAGCACCTTGAACAGTGGCTGGCACAAGCTGGGCTCTCAAAAAATATTTCTTCAATGAATAAAGATATTTAGTGATAATAATAAGAATTACCTCTTAGGTAGAAAGGTAAGTAGAAAGTAAATGAGATTAAGTACCTTATACATGCTAATGCACAATACATGTTAATTATTTATATTCATGTCATATATCCATGTGTATGTTGGAAATAATTTTTAAGTGTGAATTACATGAAGGGAAGAAAAAATTCCAGTTAAAAGAGACAGGATGGAAGTACATGCAAGTCAGCCTCAAGCAAGGTAAAGACAACTGATGGAAAGACTCTGGCATTGGCCCAGTTAACCAATGCCCAGGCCTGCCTGGGAGGCGAGGGGATGAGGGAAGAAGGGAGTGGGAGGCAGGCTGCAACTTGTGTGGGTGGGATCATGGGGTCTGCACGCAGATCTGGGTAGCTCAGCGTGAGACCTCTAGGCTACAGACCACTGTGTGCTGACGTCCATCCTTAGTGTCCCTAGCAGTGTTTGCAGTATCTCTCTATCTCTAGGACTGCATGTGCACCCTGTAAAGCAACGGACCACTCCCAGTCAAGACATAGAGTTTGCTGTACATGGTCATATACTCTTAATAGAATGTTTTGTTATTCACAATATAAATCCTTAGGGTGGGTAACAGCATCACAGTGTCTCTGTTAGGCTGTTTTGTGTCACGCACATAGTGATGTTACATGATTTTTTCATAAGTTGGAATAAAAATTAAATCATCTGCATCTAGAGGGTCATTATCATTTACAAAACATGCCTTAAAGTAAAAAAAATCCAATTTTAAAAAGGCACTCTAGTTCTTGAAACCATAAAGAATATATAATTCTCAAAAGCCTTTATATTCAGATACAGCCATCCGATTAGCTGGTATAGACACAGTCAATGAATAAAACTCTTTTGTAACCATGTGACATCACATAATAGTTTCCAAACCTTTCCCAGTTTCAGAGAGGACACAGTGGCAACCTCCACAGTATGTGTCTTAGCCTTGTTCTACAAGTTGTAATCGGTTTCCCGAGTGGAGTTTGCATTTTACTTGCTACACAGGTGCAGATGTGGCCAAGGACTTCTGATCACATTTCTTTCAAAGTGGTGACCTTACACTCCATATACTAGAGAGTGGGATATGTATGAGTACATGTATACATAGATAAGCAAGTATGTATAAATATGTAAGAGAAAAGATAAGCAGAAAATGACAGATCCTGAAAGAAAGAAAAGAAGTGAGGAAGGGGATGAGAAGGGAGTGGAAGGAAATTAGCATTCATTAGGCTTCTGCTATGATCCAGGCGCCCAGGAAAGAAGGCAGTGGGGGGAACAGAGATGAGGATATGCAGTTATCTAGATGTTAAAGAATGAGCTTGTGAAAATCTCCTTCCTTAAAGGGGAGTGCTGTAAAATGGATGCTGGCAGCCTGTCAGGGAGTGCTTGTCAAGCCATTCCGAGGGAGAACAGAAGGTTGTGGGAACTGATTCTGGCTTTGTCTCCCCTAGGTGCTGGGGTGCTGTCTTGCCATGAGATGAGTTATCTTTGAAGTTCTGCTGAGCAGTCTAGATAGCGTGACTTCAAAGTGTAAGTGCCTAACCAGGGTTCAGCTTCCCAGAATACAAATGCTCAGAGAACCAAAAGAGGCCAGGTAAAACCAGCCCAAGACATTTCCCTTTAGGGAATAACAGTAGTCTCCATAATGAAAAGGATTGGAGGTTTCTGGATATTTGTATCCATTTTTTCGGTTTGTTCTTGTATTTGTTTCACTCAGAGGTCCTTGAAATTTCTGTAATTATATCTTGTGATTCCTCTGAGTCACCTGAGGTAATGGGCAGAGGGAAAGGAGGACCTTGCAGAGAGTCCCTGGGCAAGTTGAGGAAGGTCAGGTCCAGCTGAGCTGGGAACGTCACAAAGAGAGAGGGATGAAAGCAGTGACAATTTTGGAGAGCTCTAAAGTAAGCCTTCAATAGCGTCTGTTTAGGAATTCCTGGCCAATTACAGGTTCTTCTTGGATGTCACTTCTGCTTTCTCTATTCCCACTACCCCAATATCACATCAGATGTCCTTGGCAGTGCCAGGTTTATTATGACAGCCTCTTTACCTCCATTTGCATTGGGGATAAATTGCAACCTTTGGCTCAATTCCCTGTCATTCCCTATATCCACACTCCTTGATATATAACTTTGAGGTGCTCTCCCACTGTGGGTCAGGGACCTGCTTGGCCTCTGGACTTTGGACTGAGCCAGGTGATTTTCTGTGTCCAATAAGCTGTTTAGGAAATGTGATGCAAGCACAGGCTAGAAATGGACTTTCATCAATGCTGTGGCTTGTTCTTCACCAGGAGAAGAATGAGAGACACATGGTACTGGCAAATGTTCCCCAGTCAAGCCTACCCTAGAATAGAGCCTCCAATAAACTCACACACACCTGAGTAAACTAAGTTGGCACGAACAGAAACACTCAGCTTAGCCCAGCTCAAGTGGCTGAACCTTGCCGGTGTGTGATAAATAAGTGTTGGATGCAACTGGAGTTGTGTGGTTATTTGTTACACAGCAAAAGCTACCTGATACAAGTGTCCTTTGATCCATGTCCCTCATGTCTGCCAAAGTAATATTTCTAACATGGGACTCCGATTATCTTAAAATTATTCAATGACTTCTTGTTATGGGCTGAATTGTGTCCCCTCAAGATTCATATGTTGAAGTCCTAACTCCCAGTACCTCGGAATGTGACCTTACGTAGAGACAGAATTATGGAAAATGTAATCAGTTAAGATGACATCATGCTGGAGTAGTAACCCAGTTTGACCAGTATCCTCATAAAAAGGGGAAATTTGGCAGTAGACACAGACATAGGGAGAATGCAATATGACCACAAAGGCAGAGATTGGGGTGATGTGGCTACAAGCCAAGGAACCCTGAAGATTGCCAGAAATCCTCCAGAGGCTAAGAGGGAGACATAGAACAGATTCTCCCTCACAGCCCTCAGAAGGAAATAATCCTGCCAACACCTTGATCTCAGACTTCTGGCCTCCAGAACCGTGAGACAATAAATGTTTGTTATTTAAGCCATTCCTCATTATGTTTTGTATAAAGTCTAAATTCCTTCACAAAGTATGTAAGTCTTTTCATAAGTTGGCCTCTGGCTATATCTATGGTCTCATCTCTCATTGTATTCACTTGTATTACCCTTATCCCAATTGCTAGCCATGCTGAACTATTTACAGAGCTTCAGTTGACTGCTTGAGACTTTATCCATGCTGATCCCTTGCCTCAAATGCCCTTCCTGCTACCCTCCATTCCCCACCAGACCTAACATCTTTACCTAGTTAACTTCTATTTTCATTTCAAGCTCTAGATTGGACATTATCTCTGGAAACTTTCCCAATCATCTCTTTCCCTCATCATCTCTGGAAACTTTCTTTCCTAACTAAAGATGATGCCCTATTAAATGCTCCCCAAACACCCTGTACAGATACTCATTTCTACCATAGTACTTATCACACTGTGGGTAATTGTTCGCTACTCATCCCTGTCCTCATCAACAGACTTGACAATGAACTTCTTGAAGGCAGGGTCGCATACTATCTTTCCTGTATCCCTAGTGCCTACCATAGTGGTTGGCATAGAGAGGCTCTGTAGCAAATGTTTGTGGAGCAATCTATGTGTGTTCATGTGCAGATATCCACACGGATATGTTCAAGTCAAAAGAGAGATACCTTCTGCTTGTGTGACAACTGGCTGTGAGTTTGCTTGGAATCAAAAGCACCCAATTAAAGACCAAACATCACTTCCTCCTTCTTCATTTCCTTCTCCCTCTATAACAACCCAATCTCACAGGCCTTATAATGCTTTTAGATGTAAGTGACTGTGAATTATTACTGACTAGAGAGGCCTTTCATCTTCAAGACTGACAGTCTAAGTTCCACATCTCACAGGAGGCAGAGACTATTATAACTATATTTTTGCTTACCAAGAGAATTGTTAATGGTTATCCTAGAGGGGGGAAAAAAGATCTATAAATATCCAACCCGTAATGAAGCCTTAAGCTTACTTTCTTCTTCCTTTACTAATGAAATTCTTTCTGAATGCACTGCCAGAATTGCTGCATAACGATTACACTGAGCAGAGAGACAAAGCCTACAATGAGTTTTTTTCTTTTACCTGTTTAGTCCTCATTTTGGAATCTGACGACAGATTGTTGTAAGTATAATGTGCCTGTGTGACTCCACAGAAGAGAACAGCAACTATTCCTGAAATTAAAAAAAAAAAAAATCAGTCAAAACCAATTTTCTTTACCATCAAAGTCACAGGATGGGGCTATCCCAGCTGGAAGATGGACTTGGTGTTAGTAGAGTTAAAACTGCTAATAATCACCGTGATAGTGAAACCTAGGTAAATCTTGCTACTTGCTTTAAACAGGGGCCTTGCAGGGTTAAACCTAAAGAGGAGCATTAAGAAGCAGACTTTAAGTAAAAATGAAAATGAAATGAAAAGTAGATTCTTTCTGGAGATAAATGACACCTTGGTCACGAGTTAGGAAAGTTAGACTTGGAAACATAAGAACAAAAGACTCCATAGTCAACTCTGGGCTTTTCACAGCCAGTGCTAACTACTTTGCTGCATTTTACACTAAATACTGGCATATTAGCTCAAAGATATTTGCTTTCCACTGTATCTTGGGGAGCCTGAAGAGGTTCCTGTCATACCATAATTTAGTATTAAAAGCCCATGAGTCACAAACCTAAGACGTATACAGGGGTTTTGTTCCTGCTGCCAATGCTCCCTATGTGCCAACCAGGAGAGAGAAGTCCTCATTTGTTCCTGAGCCTCCTTGGCAGGGCTGGGTGCCCTGTCCTGCTGCTGTTGAATACTCTAATGAACACATCCCAGGCACCCTGGAAGGTAAACGGTCTGTTCTCTTGTGCTTCCTATCAGTGGTGGGCCTTCAGCTGCTCCTTGGCTCGCTGCAGGGTTTATTTTTTTAAACCACATGATAGCAGCTTTAAATGTTACATGAAGTCACACATACACTAGATACTTTCTAGGGACAGAAGAACAGCAACCATGAGACGAATGTGTTATTTCTCCCTGGGCTCTGCTATTCTCTGTATTATCGCCCCTGTGCTGGGGTGGGGAAGGGGTGGGAGCTGCACTCTACTTCGGATTAAAGATTAGATCAATTATGGGAAATTGGGCAGAGAGGAGGGCTTTGGGAAAAACACAAGATATAAGTATTCTTCAACTCAGACCAAGAGGATTGAATTGAATTTTAAGCAGCAGAATCTTTCCAACTAAAAAACACTCATAAATTAAATGCTGATGATTCTTAAGAGTATAGAGATATGTGAACTGAATACTGACATTCCAAATGAATCTGCAATAAAGAATTTTAAAGAACTGAGCTTACTTGTTTAATATGTAGACGGTATGATTCTATTTACACGTTATTTTTTCAGGTTGGTATTGGATAAAATATTGCTAAGGCATTTACATAATATAAGTGCGTAGAATTTAGAAGATTGATTTTCTTTTAATATTATGCTTCAAAATTTTGGACAAAAGAATAAAAACAAGGAGGAAATTTTTCCAAGAAATATATATTCAGTAAGCATGTCTGCAGATTTTTTGGTAAACTTTCAGTTCCTCAGCATCTCTTCAGAAATTCTAAGAAAAAATGCTTATACAATATTATATTTTACTCTTCACAGAATTTCTATTAAAACATTAGTGAATACCAGGGAAATTTTTAGGATGCTGAAGCACTTTAAGTATTTCAAGGCACAAGGAGGATTGCCATGGATATTGTTTTGGTATCAAATATTTCTCCTTATTTATTTAAAAACGTGATTTATCTGTCTGTCAAGTCTAGTCTGTTGAGGGTTTTTCTGGGTGAGGTTTAGCTGACCCTCTCACCTCTGTGGAACTGTTTTGACTATATATTAATCTGTGAAGAAGCAGGGGATAAAAGGGCAGATGTGCATGGGTAGCCAATAAATTCATTGTGAGAACAAGAGTAGGTAACAAGTGTTATAAAGAACAGGAAAGGGACTGAGATTGGCCAAACAGATCTTAGCTGTGGGCCAAGATGGTGCTCATTTCGTTTACGTCTCCTCATTAGTGGCACTGGTTTGCTATCTCACAACAGGCTTACCATGACTAACCAACCCCTCCCACTGCCTTTCTCTTTTCAGTAACAGCATCTCCATCCTTCCTGTTGCTCAGGCCAAAACTCTGGGATCACCTTTTACTTCTTCTCTCATTGTTCACCAACAATTTTGTTGGATTGTCCTTCAAAGCTTACCCTGAATCCAACCATTTCTCAACACCTCCACCCCTAACATCCTGTTCCAAGCCACCATCATCTTTGGCCTGGATTATAGCAACAGCTTTCTAACTGGCCTCTCTGCCTCCCCCGGGCAGCCCTCCACAGTCTACTCCTCACTCAGCAATAGTGGTTCTATTTTTTTCAATTTCAAAATATTAAGGGGGCACAAATGTTTTTGTTACATGGATACCTTGTATGCTTAAGTTGGGGCTTTCAATGTGACCATCACCAGAATAGTGTTCCATTGTCCCCAATAGATAGGTTTTCATTCCTCATATCCCTCCAAACCTCCCCTCTTCTTGGTTTCTAATGTCCTTTTTCATCTCTTTGTGCCCATCATTTAGTTCCCAGTCATTACAGAATACATGTGGTATTTGTTTTTCCATTCCTGAGATATTTCACTTAGGATAATGGTTTCCAGGTCCATCCAAGTTGCTGCAAAAAACATTACTTAATTTCTTTTTATAGCTGAGTAGTACTCTATGGTGTATATATGTCCCACATTTTCTTTATGCACACATGAGTTGATGGTTGATTCCTTATCTTTGCAATTGTGAATTGTTTTTATGATAAACATTTGAGTGAAGGTATCTTTTTCGTAAAATGATTTCTTTGACTTCAGGTAGATACCCAGTAATGGGACTGCTGGATCAAATGGTAGGTCTACTTTTAGTTCTTTGAGGAATCTCCATACTATTTTCCATAGAGGTTATACTGATTTGCAGTCCCGCCAACAGTGAATAAGCATTTCTTTCTCTATGCAGCCACGTCAACTTCTATTGTTTTCTGACTTTTTAATAATGGCCATTCTGACAGACGTAAGGTGGTATCTCATTGTGGTTTTAATTTGCATCGCCCTGATGATTAGTAATGTTGAGCATTTTTTCATATGTCTGCTGGCCATTTGTCTATCTTCTTTTGAAAAGCTTCTGTTCATGTCTTTTGACCACTTTTTTAATGGGGTTGTATGTTTTTTCTTGCTGATTTGTCTGATCACATCAGTCCTCTACTCAAAACCTCGTAGTGAACGCCTGTGGCTTGAAGGGCCCTACAGGATCTGGTCTTGCCCTTTCTCACCTCCAAACAACTTTCTGACCTCATCTCCTACCACACTTCCCCTTTGTCTCACACTTTCCTCACTGAGCTGTTCCACCACAGGGTCCATGCACTTCTAGTTCCCATTGTTCAAAAATCTCTTCTCCAGATACTGACAGGGCTCCCTCCTTCCTTCAGATGTCTGTTCATATGTTACATTATCAGACAGGCCTTCTCTGTTCACTGTATAAAAATCATCCCCTCTCATCATTCTCTACTTGCCTTTCTTTTTGCCTTTGTTTTTTTCCCCATATTATTTACTGCTACTTAATATTTTACATATTTATGTGTTTATTTTCTGTCTTCTTGAACTGCAATGAAAAGCTCAGTGAGGGCAGAAGGAGTCATTGGTCCCTAACCCTTAGAGCAGTACCAGGCACGTGGCAGGCACTCCGTGAGTATTTGTTGAATAAATAGATGAACATTCCTATCCCCATTGAACAAGACATGAATGTAATTTACTCAAGGTCACCTTGAAAGTGGCAGGGCTGAGATTCAATATTTCCCAGACTCCCTGTGCTTTCCTGCCTATATTAGACCATCTTTGAATGTTTTAAGAGGATCTTAAGCCATCTAAAAAATATCATTTCTGATATCCCAGGGAAACAGAGATTTGCTGATGAAGATTACATATCTAGTCAGCTGGGCTTGTCATTTGAGGATAATTTCCCTAGTCGCTCCATTGGTTTTTGTTTCCTTGTCTTTAATAGAACACTAAAGGCAACATTCTTGTTAAACACTGCTTGAGTTTCATCTGTATGAATATATCACATAAGCAAAAAACAATGGGGACTACGCCTATATGACCAGAGGCTTGGTGTAGCAATTAAAATAAAACAACAAAATTGATCCGACCCTTAGTATTAGCATACATAATCATAATTCTATAGCCTGCTAATTAAATAAATCACACAAATTACTGTAATTAGTACGACTTTTATAAGCCAAAACACATTTTGAAAATGTCTCATCTAAATACATCTATTATCCATAAAATTCTCTACCATAGAAACAAATTCAAAGTTGAAAGTTTTCTACCTTACAAATGTATTTTAACTGTCATTATGTTTTCGCATGTCCATGCCTGCCAAGTACTGGTTGTGCTGCTGTGATGTGGGGCCCTAGACAATTCTCTTAAATGCTCTGGATCCCAGATCCTCATGTGTAATCAGAGGAGAAGGGGGACTATGCGCTCTTTGTGCCAGTCATCAAACTAGCTAGTGTCTCGGCTCCAAACCTACCCTTCTTCATTGGCTCCATGATCCTGGGGCTGGGGCTCTACCAACCATGTTCTCCTTTGCCTGTGCTGTTGGGCTTTGCCAGCAGGAAGCCCCAGAAAGAGACTAGAACACAGCGTGGAGAGAAGGACTTGCTCCTTCCCCTTTGCCTGCTCTTCCTGTCAGCCGCATCTCAGGAAGACCTAATGACATCCCTCAGGGAAAGCAGCCACAGCCAGGCAGTGTCCACAGAGATCTGGATTCCAGCCCAGTGGTTTCCTCTTAGGCACTTCTAGATTCACTTCCATTTGTTCCTTCTAGTCCTAGAGTTCACACTTGCTTCCTGGAATTATTACCTCTCTGTCACCTCCATTTCCCCTTTGTACTTTTTCAGCTCTCTGCCAACTGTTTGTCCAATTTCTTGCATTAAACTCCATCAATAGCTAGGTGGTTTCCCTTTTCCTGATGAAATCCTGACTGGTACTCTCTTGTGGGTCCCTTCTCATTCTAAACTTGATACTTCTCTGAAACCATGGAAAGTTTATCAGCTGTAAATAAGATCCAACTTGTATCTTCCCGGTAACAACCAGGACAATGGGGACATCAGTGGCAG